TTCCCATAATAAATATGAATTTATTCTGACTGTTTTCTTTATCAAAATTTGGAACTTTATTTTGTGCAGTCAGGAATAATTTGTCCATTATTATCCATTGGTTCTCAAACAATTCGTTTTTAAATAAAATCATTATTATTTTACATATAATGGTAACAACATTAATGTCTTGCATGAGGGTTTCTACATTGGAAACCATTCACTTTTTACATTCTTATTTACTGTGTGAGCCTCTACTAATGGTCGCTTTGCAGAAACTGTATTGAACAAATTTTAAGGGGCGTGTCACAATTTTGAAAAATATTTACAAAAATGTCCTTTTTTTCTTTTTTTCGTGATAATTATGCTCGAACGGGGATGTTCACTAATGTTGGCCCCTGCACATCTGTCATTGCTCTGCTGTCATCCAATAACGATTATTATACTTACTTAACACTGTCCAAATCACCCAGTTTACAGCTGAGAAACAACTTAGATACTTCCATAACGATGTGTGGTCTGTTTGCTGTTACGAAATAATCAATATCCTGGCATACGTCAGACCTTCGAACGGTTTGAGATCACCACACGAATATAAACACACAATTTCAGTGGAAGATAATCTAACCTTTCGCAAAATTAGTAATAGTACTGTTCGGGACGATTTAGTTCACGAATTTGTTCATAAGAGTTCAAACGTCGATGGGATGTAGTAGATGGTTGCAAAGTAGCTGACAAAACAGGTGCATCGTCGATTATTACAACACAGAAGTCGACAACTGGGGTAGGGTCAGCCATTATTTTCGCTTGCTTTGTCGCGTGTACACCGACTTACAAGAAATACAGATGCGTTGAAACTTAGTCCTTCTGGACTAACGCAACGATAATGTTAATCACAAATTCTTGCCACGCTGGAATAGAGTTGTAGGTTTTACGGTGCACATGAACTGGCTTAAAACGCAGCGAATTCCAGAGAAATACACCAAGAGAAAAACATCAACACAGCTGACGAATAAAGCAGCAAGTTCCCTTAGCTTAGTGGTAAATTGCCCCAAACACATTAGGAATGAGGGCGCACTACATTTGAACCGGGTACTCTGAAAGTCAAGGGCTCTCATCATATTTCAACACAGTGTGTCACAAGATATTGCTAGTCTGTCTGTCCATTTATGGACACAACCAGTGAAACGGCAGCATACACGATATCATGCTCCCTATAATCGCAACTACTAGTATTCCAAGCATATGCATGGGAGTTTGCTCAATTTTAGGTATTGGTGTTTTGTATGAAACTAGGAAGCAATACAAGAAATGGAGTGTGTATTCTCGAAAAAAGCGTGTAATTCTATTCACCAAATATCCGATCCCAGGGGTGACCAAAACTCGTCTTATACCAACCCTTGGTGAAGTAGGTTCAGCTAGAATCCAACAAGTGATGGTGAGTCCTCCAATCAATGTGAGCGAACATTGATTTAATTGTAAAACTATCAATACGTTAATCTATTGTGTGTGCATATTCATTAGCTAATTTACATATTTTTTTTTTTTATCTCTAGACAGATCGAATGTTGGATGTATTGAATGATTTTCAGAGTGTCCACCCTGATGTGTGTCTCGAAATAAAATACTTTGGTGGTAGTAAAAACGACATCAAAACCTGGCTGGATAGAAAACCAACAGGTTTGATTTGGAGTGAGCAGAATGGAAACAATCTTGGTGAAAAGATGGCGAATGCTTTCAAAAGCGCTTTCAAACAGGGTGCAGAACATGTCGTTATTGTAAGTGTTTCCGTTAGATGCTTAAAATGTAGTTAGCTTGAATAGTTTATAGATTTCTTTCACTTTTACAACATGATTTTATTTGATGCTGTTTTTTGTAAAACTCTGAGATAAAAATTCTAAGCAATTGAAAACGACTGTATACAATTGTAAACATGTTCATTGAACTATAAACTCACTTTTGCTATTTTTACTGATAAGTGAAATTCGCTTATAATGAAATTCATGTGAATGTATAAACTTGGGAAAGAAGTTATTTATTTATTATATATTTTCAATATTGGTTTCATTTTTTTTAGATTGGAGCTGATATTCCTGGTATAAACTGCCACATTTTAAAAGAAGCATTTGATAAACTTGAAAATGAAACTATAAAAGATAAAGTTGTGCTAGGACCTTCTTTTGATGGGGGTTATTATTTGATTGGAATAGGTCAACACAATCAATCCACACTAGGTTAGTTTCAACATTTATGGGGAATTCAATGCTGCTTGCTCTGGTGATGCATCATGGGAGTATGCAATGCATCATATACAGATTTTACTCTGAGATTTTCCTCTAGCTTCAGTGTGTTCTTGTGACTACATGTATGATGTGTGAATATTTGATGGTATGAACTTCCATGATGTTAAGCACACCTAAACGTTGTTGAACGTTTCGCTTCCTATGTGTTTCATTCCTTAATTTTGCTAGCGCTTTTGAATACATATCGATTTATAACGCATGCCGATTAACTAAAACACGTCTCTGATTCAAAGTATTGCAGTCTGTAGTAAAACAGGTCAAGGGCAAATATTTTCTACAATTATATTTCTTACCATCAAATATTTAACATAATAGTTCCAGCATTCCTATAAATCTATAAAAATGATTTCAAGTTGAAAATTTGAAGCATTTGATTTTGTTTTTTGGGTGCAAGCATATACTACGGTAATCACTAAATCACTAATTTGGAATCTGGAATATGTGTTATTCCAATTTCAGATGCAATTATGAGAAATATAGTCTGGAGTACTAAGACTGTCTTGGCGCAGCAAAAAAAGAGAGCAAAGCAAGCTGGCTTATCTGTTGTGATGTTATCAAAGGTTTTACAGGATATAGTAAGTTTTTAATTATCATTATTTTTTTGTAATTTTGTCATATGGCTTTGGTGTGGTATTTATAATATAATATAATTATAGTAACTTTTTAGCTCCGCCGTCGACTTTGTCGAGCGGAGCTTATCATATGAGTGATTGACCGTCGTCGTCGACTGTTGCCTGTTGTCGTCCGTTTCAATGTTCTACTTTTTCGACTTCTTCTTGAAAACTATACAAGCTTGAATGCTTTGATACTTGGTGTATATGTACCTTGGGTAGATCTCTCTTAGATCTGTTCATTTCATGATCATATCTTCAATTCTCTAATTTTGGTGAATATTTTTGTCATTTTTTGGTAAAAAGTGATACTTTCAACTTCTTGTTAAAAACCACAAGTCCAATTGCTTTGATATTACATATATAGATACTACATGTGGACCTCTCTCAGATTCGTTCATTTCATAATGATATCTTCAATTCTCTAATTTTGGTAAATATTTTTGTCATTTTTGGTAAAAAGTGATACAACAGCAAGTCCGATTGCTTTGATACTATACATATTGTTCATTTTCTAATGATATCTTCAGTTCTTTAATTGAAATGTGTATTGATAACAGCGGAGCTATCTCAGCCGACAGGCTGCTTGTTTAATGATATGATGGATGGTATAAAAATAATAGCGAGTGTGAATATATAACTGATGTGATTCTAACTCCCCGGTACTGAATATTGTTCCAAAGATTTTTTTCTAATGTCTTTCAATCCAAGGACACTGCGAATGACTTACCAGTATTAGAAGAGGAGGCTAATATTACAGTCACACAAATATTGACACCTAAGTTATCTGTTATTATACCAACTTTAAATGAAGTTGATAATATTGATAACACAATAACCACAGCCATACAGGTACGTTATTCAAACACTTGACTTTAAATACTACATGATACAAAACAAATCAAAACATCATGTGGAGTTCGAAGGTAAATTCCTTCATTATATTTTTATAATTAACATTTTTATAATTATTTCATTCACATTATCGCATTCATCAAAGATGAATAATCTTTAATAAATAAAATAATCCATGTTTCTTAGACTAGGAAACTTATATTCTGCAAGTATAACAATTTCTTGAATATGTTTTGATTTTCTAACACACAGTATAATTAATGATCACTGATTAGTTAAGGCATTCTTATCAAAGCTTTATTTCCCAGGTAATACTGTAAACCACTTTAATTTCTAAATAGAAAAATTTTCGCGAGATAGTTCAGGAACTTTTGTAGCAGTGGAAATTTCTCGGGAGTCGTACAATATCGGGTTTCAGCGACTAAATCTAAAACACACACATTTTTGAGTATCGCATAAGATAACAGAAATACTTTTAGACTTGATGTAAACAAAAACTTTGAGAAAGGCATATACATACTAACTAATGATATCATATGTTATCCAGAAATTGGTGCCGAAATAAATTTATATCACTCGTAGAGTTTTTTTGTTTTTTGTACTGACAGCATTGTACCTGGCCGGAATACACGGAACTCATAGTATGCGATGGAGGCAGTCAGGATGGTACAGTTGAGAAAGTTGAAGAAATCATAAAAAACAATTCAAAGTACTCTATTAAAATTGTACAATGCCCTCGAGGTGAGTTATCCATTTATATATTACTTCTTTTTATCATTATACATTGACAAAACTGACAGTTCATTGTAATCTACCGGTAGTTCCTGTTTCAAATACTGTATTTGCTCTATTAGTCATACATGTGTTTATATGTAAATGATAAAAACATATTTTAATGATCCAGTATCCAATAAGTATGATACTGTTAAAGATGCAGTTCTAATAGAGCAATTATGGTATTGTGTTTAATAATTAAACACCAATATTTTCCACATTTATATGTATTTTTCTATAATTTGTCTTGGACAAAATAAATACTGTAAAATGACTAATTTTCACTGGGTTTGAATTTACCATTTCAATTTCAGGCATATTCAGTGGGTTTTAAATTCATGGGGTAGATAATGTGTTCTATGCTAAAAATTACATATTCACTGGGTTTTAATTTAGCGCATTTTCCAGTCAGTGAAATAAGCAAAATTAAAACTCAGTGAATAATTAATCTATTTACAGTAGAATTCCCTGTTACCTGCTTATCCTGATATCAAATTTTCACAAAATTTAAAAATTTTGTAAAAAGCGACAGAAGTTCACTTCTATATTCAAAGGGTTGAACATCCATTTTTACACAAATTTTTAGTCCCCGTTCGGACGCAGTCCGAAAACGGGGACTTATCTTTTGCCCTGTGTGCGTCCGTCCGTCCGTCCGTCCGTGCGTCCGTGATCACCTGTATCTCGAACATGCATGGACCGATTAAGTTCAAACTTCACTCATACATCACACATTATATAAGACATATGCACATGCATTTTTTTCATGATCCGATTAACGATAGCCGAATAGCGGCCATTTTAAGGCCGAAAATGCATCAAAATCGCACATTTTCACCATTCCGGACCCGGATCTCAGTTATGCATGGACGGATTTTGTTCAAATTTGGTACATACATTAAACATAATAGGACCTTGATGCACGTCATTTTTTTTTTGGATCGGGTTCGAAATGGCCAACTGGCCGCCATTTTGTTTTAAAGA